GTCAGAGTCTATCATAGTCTAGTTGAGTTTTCGAGTCTTTTGTTAACGTACTTCCTGTTTTGTATTTGAAAAACCAAAAAAAAAAGTTATAAATAAAAAATCAAAAAATATTTTTGTTTTTAGTTTATTTTGTCCATTACTTTTCTAGAATTATGCTTGGTCGGATTTATGTGGAACATGATAGGTAGGCAGCCTACATAGGGTTCAATCGAATCAATTTTAAAAATTAAAAGAAAAAAAAAGACAAAATTATGGGATGTAAGAAATGAGAGGAACGAAAAGAGTGAAAACCAAAAAGAAAAAGAGAGAAAAGAAAATGAAAAACCAAGGAGTGCTAGAAAGGAAAATAAAGAGGAAAAGGGCAAGGAGAGTAAAATTGGGATGATGCCAAGATGACCTGCGTAACCTCGATGTCATTTTAGAACCGATAATTGTGACTAGGTGCATTGCATATAATATGATACTATTTGTTGTTAAATGCCCTAATGCTAATGTGATGACTTTATTTTTTTCCTCTTTGTTATCTTCATTATAGCAGAAGGGTGGTTGGTGTGTAGTTCTTAAACTGGTAACTCTTCCCTATAACATAAAGTTGTAAGCAGTGGCAGACGACAACATAATTGAGTTGGTTGATACTGGTGCCCAAAAGTAATTGGTTGAACAAGACACTGGGTTGGTTAAAGAGGTAAGGATGTTAAGACAACATATGATGGACATGTATCAAGCTTGGATGAATGGGTAGGCACAACCCCCGCCACCACCTAGCTTCTTAGACGCTACCCTTACCCAAGCTTTGGTCATAGTGCCAGATGATCCACCATACTCTCCAGATTTTCCTGCTTATCACAGCTTTCCCAATCTCCCTAGTAGCTCTATCGTTCGTCCTAGCCCTCTTGTCATATCCAGTACCTCAACTATCACAATTTCTCAACAACCTTTCCTTAGATCCAACAGTGAACACCAATTAAAACCTCATGATGTCCAATACTACTCTTCAGAGTTGGCCTACAAGGTCCCAGACTCATACAATCATAGCCCTTGGAATGAGCCTCAAGTTAAAAATGAAAAGTTCACAGAAAAAAAAAAAGAGCGAGATGAGATATCCAGAAAGCTAAAAGGTATAGAACAATCTTTAAAGAACATGCAAAGGATAGAAAATCAGATTAACATGTCTTATAATGACTTGTGTATGTTCCCTGATGTTCATCTGCCCACGGGGTTTAAAATGCCAAAGTTTAACTTGTATGACGGGCGTGGAGATCCAGTAGCCCATATAGGGGTTATTATAGTGAAATGAGAAGTGTTGAACGGAAAGATGAGTTGTTGATGGCATATTTCAGTGAGAGCTTGAGTAGGGCAGCCTCGGAATGGTATACTCATCAAGATGTCAGTATGTGGCATGCATGGGTTGACATATTCCTCTTCATCTTTGGTCCCAGAAAATCTTCAAGCTAATTGGGGATAAATGTGGGGGATGGATTGAAACAGAGGAGGAAACTTCTCTTAGGAATCATTTAAAATGGACTCGAATCAAAGTGAAGGGCCCATTCAACAGAATCCCAAGAGTCATAGAGATGGAGAAAAATGGCATAATTTTCTCTGTGCTGATCTGGTGTGAATCGCCGGCGACATGGTGCAGTGCTGATAGTACATCAGAGAAATTTGAAATTTCTAGGGGTCCTAACCCTAGAAATACAGCTATGGGTCTGGAAAGTAAGATGCACGTGGCTCAAGAGTCATGTGACATTGAGGTGGGGCCTTCTTTTAAAAAAGGTTCACATGCTATTGTTGAGTCATCTAATGGGCCTAGTAAAATTCAAAGTCCCCCTATTTCTTTCACTAAGCCCATCCCCACTTTTACTAAAAGCCCAAATCTAGGAATAAAAAACAGATTCTCAGTTCTCTACCCAGGGGACAGACCCGACCCAATGTTGGAAGAACTCTATGCAATTCATAACTCAATGGACATTGTTGTATCAGAAGATCCATCTGAAACAGAAGACCCACCACGTCTCTTAGATGCAATAGAGAATTTGGCTTTGCATGGTGGATTCGAAGAAGAAGGCCAAGCTTTAGGGGGTGGCGAAACCATTCCCCTCTCTTCTCTACCCAAGAATTCCCTACAATTGTCAAAATATGAAGATCAAGAGGCATGGTTTGTTGATGAAGCAAAACCCTTGGACTCTCAATTTCTAGAGGCGGAGATGAAAGCTTCCTTATGGGTGCACAAAAATGTTTTGAAGATGAGCAAAGCATACTGAGTGAACTTCTAGGGGTGCGAGGGAGAAGCTCTGTCCCTCTTCATGAAAATCGATAAGCGCAGATTAGAGATAAGAGAAGAAGCTGCTTTAAAGATAGTGTCGACTCCAAAAAAGAAGAAGGGGAGCATGGAAGTTCAGAATCTGGTGTTCAACATGAACTTCCCAGAGTCCAGTTCAAGAAGCAGGGGGAAATCTACCTTCAATTGTTATCAATGAAGGTAAAAATTATTTCTTGGAACGTGAGGGGATTGAACAGAAGGGATAAAAGATCTATTGTCAAGTCTTTATTTGAGAACTGGAAGGCAGATATTTACTGCTTACAAGAATCGAAATTGGAAGGAGATGTGCAGAGTTTTGTGAAACAAATTTGGGGGTTCAGATGGGTCATATTTGGTTGTATGGAAGCTAGTGGTAGTAGAGGGGGTATCTTGGTTCTTTGGGACAGTAGATCCTGGAAAGGGGAGGTGATTAATGTAGGTAGCTATTCTATCACTGTTAAGTTTGATGCTCAGAGCTATAATTTCTCTTGGCACTTGATTGGAGTTTACGCTCCACACTGTAGACTTGAAAGAAGGAATGTTTGGTGGGAAGTTGCTGCTTCCAGGAAATCTTTTGACGGTCCATGGGTTGTTTGCGGAGATTTCAATGTCACTAGGTTTATGGAGGAAAGAAGGGACATCAGCATCATATCAAGAGCCATGACTGAGTTCTCCAATTTCATTGAGAACCTTGAGCACCCAAACCCAGTCCAGCTTTGCATCAGCCGGGTAGCGACCTACTGTAGGCGGCCACCATTCAAGCATCAACAATTTGTTCCTCCATCTCCATTCCCCCATTTTGATATGGTCCGCCATTTTTCTTGACGGAAACTCGAACAAGAATTTTGAGCCATGCATTTCGTACATCTGTATGCCAGGGATATTGCTCCATTTATTAGTAGCCCATCTCCTGATGTCGGAGAGAGTGGGCAATTCCTTCGCATCACTGAAGCTGCCAACCAAACATCTGCTTAGTAAATCCTTATCAAATATTTCAGGCCTTGAACAGTAACTCGTTGACCAAAAGGGGTTTGTGCAGACGACGTCGAGGTTCCTTTTGCCTCCCACTTATCGGTTTTAAATGCTTCCATATAAGAGTATTTTGTTGGTTTGACAAAACTTTTCACAGTTGGTTTGACAAAGCTTTTCACAGTTTGAGCCACCTTATTTATGAACTTCTCTATCTTTAAAGTAACATCTCTCCATCCCATATTGAATGTTGCTTCTGAAAGGATTATGACAGCTCTGCGTTCTCCATCCCACATTGAATGTTGCTTCTGAAAGGATTATGACAGCTCTGTGTTCCCCCTGTACTGCTACAATGCTTATATATTTGCCAAAATCATTGTATTTCTTTGTACAGAAGAAATTGTAGACATGGTCTCTGGACTTCACCTTCTGAGTTCATTCCCCTTTCGATCAGATGTTGTATGAAGAATACCGCAAACCCACAACATGACATTTCGACTAAGAGTCATTTTCCTCATGAAATTCTTCTTGCATTCCACCCATTCGTACCAAACCTCTGCACCATTTTTTACTTCAGTAATGTCAAAAGATTTCTCACCATTAATAAAATATATTCTATTAACCATAATTTAGGAAGAAAGAGAAAAAGAAGACGAAGTTTTTGAGCCAATCACCAAGACATGATTGATAAAAAAACTAAGTAACCAAAGGAAAGATCATCGGAAAGGGAGAGCAACGATACCAGAGAGAGATTTTAGGCTCTCACCTCGGAACTCGTGCCTGGGAGCATCTAAAGAGTTCACTTTCTAACTTTTACAACTTTCCTAAATATTAGGACTTCTTATCTAATTCAAATCAAGAAAAAATTATTAACCAAAATTTTAGTTAAAATCAAAATCCTAAATATTAAGAAAATAATTAAATAAATATTAGAGAATTAACTAAATGATTATTCCTAAATATTAGTGAATATATTTAAATGATTATTTTGTCCAATGTGAACTCTATTTCTAAACGGTTAAATAGACTAACGATATTTCGCTGAGGACCTTCATGCTTTAAATATAATATATAAATATAGATATAAATATGGATAAAGATAATAATCTTTTATATTATACATCATAATAAAAACCAGGATCGCATTAGACTAATGAGTTTATAGCAAGATATTCGGAATGTACGGAAGAACTAGAACCATCCGAAATTTTCCTCCTAACATGTCGGCCGCTCCTCCCTATTAGTTATACACTTGCTTGCTAATA